GCATTGCAGTGATCAGTTAGTGGGGAAGCACAGCAGAGGCATCTAGTAGCAAAATTCGGAATTGCAAGAGAAGCAATTTTTGACACAAAATCTATGTGCTCAAATACCGCAACAGCTGGGCTTTTGGCAAGGGAGGGGAGGGGAGGGGTGGGCTCAGAAGCCAGCCAGAACTCTGTTCCTGTGTGTTCCTGCCCAAAAATAGCCCTGGAGATTAGAAAGGTTTAACTCTGTTCAGGATTGCATTGAGAATCTTCTTTCTGTGAGCAGAAAATAAAGACCGGGGGGGGGGAGAGAATCCATAACTCATTAATGTTAGTTTTCATTGTACTTTTAAAGGGTAAAAGCAAGGGTTGCCATCTCTGGGTTGGGGTTTCTGGAGATATGTGGGTGAAGCTTGGGGAGCAGAGAGATCTCTGCAGGGTGTATTCTTACAGAATCCACCCTCCATTTTCTCCAGAGGAACTGATCTCCCTAGTCTGAGGAGCAGTTGTCATTCTGGGAAACTCCAGGTACCACCTGGAGAATGGCAACCCTAACAGACACAATAAAATCTCAACAATTGCTTGGCAAATACCTTAAAAAAGTAAAGCCAAACGTCAAAGCAAATGCAAGCTATCAGTGCAGAATAACACAACGTAATAAAGGCCTAGTAATATAACATAATCAGGTGTAGTGATATATTTCTGGACATGAGAACAAAAGCTTTTGAACAGCACAGAATGCTTTGTGTCTGAAGAAGAGTTCTGTAACCAGGAAGCTTTCAATGCACTTGAAACATGAAAACTTGGCTAAAAAAATTTTTTTTTGAGGGTCTCAGGTTGCAATCCTAAAGACACTTTCCCGGAGGTAAGCCCTATCGATTAACATGGGAATTACTTCTCAGTAGATGCCAGTAGTCCCTGACCTGGACAGCACAGACAGGCCTGAACTTTTCAGGTCTCAGAAGCTAAATTGGGTCAGTTCTGGTTAGTCCTTGAATGGGAAACCCCCAAGGAAGTCCAGGGTTGCTATGCAGAGGCAGGGAAGGGCAAACCACCTCTGAACATCTCTAGCCTTGAAAACCCTACGGGGTCACCATAAGTCAGCTGTGACTTGACAACACTTTCCACCAGGACCAGACCTGCTTCAAATTGTTCCATGGAACTACAATAATAAAACCAAGAGATCTGGCAGAGTGACTGGGGGGGGGGGGTTGCATGCAATGTTCCCTCTAAGCTGTGGAGTCTTGTGAGCAAAAATCCTACTCTGTGAGCATCTGGCGTTAAAGTTGTGAGCAAGCGATTTGGCTACTGCATAAATTAGTTTGCTCTGGAGCCACATCCTTCCTGAGCTAAGATAAGAACGTGTGATCAGGAGGCTCAAAAACTGTGAGCTAGCTCACACTAACTCAGCTTAGAGGGAACACTGGTTGCATATATAAATGCATGTGTGAGATTGGGGAGACCTCTTGCGTGGCTCATCCGTTTGTCCGCTTGTTTGTTTAAAATAAGATTTTATCTGCGCCACCAATGATAGTTCGGTCCCCAGAGAAATACACTCTTACTTTCCGATATAAGCGTGTTTTCTCTGGGAAGAAGAAGAAGATGAAGAAGAAGAAGAAGAAGAAGAAGAGATTGGATTTATACCCCGCCCTTCACTTGGAGTCTCAGAGCGGCTTACAAACTCCTTTCCCTTCCCCTCCCCACAACAGACACCCTGTGAGGTGGGTGGGGCTGAGAGAACTCTGACACAAACTGCTCTTTTTCAAGGACAGCTGTGCCAGAGCTTGTGACTGACCCAAGGTCACATCAGCAGGTGCAAGTGGAGGAGTAGGGACTCAAACCTGGTTCTCCCAGATTAGAGTCCACACACTTAACCACTACACCAAACTGAACTTATCATTCCATATGCATTTTATAAAAGAATCCCAAATGGTGCGGGATCTCACGGAGATCTGAATTATTTGCCTTGTGCTCCATTATATGGCGCACCAAAATCTTGTGCTCCTAAGGAACGAGGGAGGCACACAGATTGTGATGCTGTTATTTGGTTCAACAGGTACAGTCTGAGCCCAGAGCATTCCTACCCACTTCAGTTTCAACAGTGTCTCGACGTCACCGTACATTTGTTGGAACATGCCGAAGACTACGAGGTGGATCCTGCCCGTGTAATAGTTTGTGGGGACAGCTTTGGGGGCTTACTCACTGCGGTCACTTGCCAGGTGGTGGGACAAAGAAGAGACCTACCAAAACCACGGGCTCAGATACTGCTCTATCCTCTCCTTCAAATGGTGAAGTTTAACTTGCCTTCATACCTGCAAAACGGCAGGACTCCCATCTTGTTCAAAAGGCAGGTTTTAAGATTTGGGTTACAGTATTTGAAGAGAGATATATCAATTACTGATCTGATCTTGGAAGGTGCCCATGTCTCCGAAGACATGAAAATGAAGTATAAAAAATGGCTAAGTGTAGAGAATATCCCCGAAGAATTCCGAAAGAGAGAGGCTAAAGTAGTCACTCCTGCACCCCCTTTTAGGGATATTTACGAAGGTTTCGAGTTGGCCGCTAGCCCAAAACTATCCCCACTTTTCGCTGAGGACGAGGTCATTCGGCAGCTGCCTGAGACGCTTATTTTAACCTGCCAGTACGATGTCCTGAGAGATGAAGGGATTTTGTACAAAAAACGATTGGAAGAGAATGGCGTTCCGGTGTCCTGGTGCCATCTTGTGGATGGATTCCATGCAGCACTTTTCTTGGTTAACAATGTCTTCTTCCATTTCCCCTGCACCAAAACAGGAATGGACCATGTTGTCAATTTCATCAGAGGTTTATAAACCTGTAATATATCCAGTCAGACCGCGTGGCCGGCTACGGCATCACACGGTCAAGCACAAACGTCGAGCTACGCTCTTAGAGACAATAGACTATGCGGATCCTAGCCCACACCAATCAGGGGGCTAGGTCCCGGCCGAGAGCCTATGGAACTCTCGGCCCCTGTAAATAACCTACTGGGGTGTGTTATGGGTGGCGGTTTCACGGGGAATATAAGCCGGCCTGCGAGATGGCAAAAGCTGTCTTGTTCCTGATCGAATGAAGTACGCTTTGCTGAATTCACTCTCCGTCTGTGTACTTTTCAAAACCTACACTATCACATGCGGGGGAGAGGGGAGGGGTCGTAGCCTATCACTGCATTTTGCTAAGGGCAGTTCTGCATCTAGCATTTGCTCCACATCTTCTCAGCTGGGAGGGGAAAGTGCAGCTCAAAACCACATTCAAATATCTTGGGGCAACGCCATACTGACTGCAAAGTCACCCCCTGAATGGCCATAAACCTATGCAGAAGATACCATAAAATCCAATGATCAAAGAAAGCAAGAGCAGCATGCAATGCAGAGGGGGGTTTCTGTTCCAAGGTGGGTTTCGCAAAACAACGGACGGAGACGCCAATGCAGAAACCATCCTCAGTGAGGAGCATTTTCTCCATTTGAAAGAGGCTTGCCCCGAAGAAAGAGGCTCTTCCTGTTGGAAGGAACGGTGCAGGGTCACTCAGTGCTAGTACAGAGATCAGAATCTCAGTAGAAGGCAGTAGAGAGTCAGTAAAGGGCTAGGTAGGGTAGTCCTTGACCTCCCCTTTGTTCACTCCTGCTGCTGTCCCTTTGTTACCCAGAATGCTAATCTCAGGGGTTCCTTCCTTCTGGTCACTTCCCTTCCTCTCTCTCTTCCTCTGTCCATTATGAGGAATTGGTATGCTTTCTACAATCTCTCTCCATCCTAGTTTAGACTGTCAGTATAGGCAAGATCACAGCTATGTCATGGAACATGAATTAGATCTAAATGATCTGGAATGGCAGCTAAGAGGTCATATGACACCAGAGTTGCATCATACCTGAAGGTGTCAGAATGACTCAGCAAGTGTACAGAACTGTACTGTGATTGGTCAATGTATGTATATATTGCAATGAGTTCTTTGTACAGAACTGCCTTGATGGTTACGGTTGTTATGCGAAGCACTTTGTCAGTGAATATTCTGAACTGCTACAAAGCTGTGTATGTATATAAGCTCTGTAAATAAACTGTAAATACTCCACTGCAACAACTCTGCTATTTTCCGGCTTCAAACACCGTCATAGACAACTAGCTAGATAAAGATAATTTTTTTCTCCCTCTTCCAAAATACTAGAACTCGAGGGCATCTAATGAAGCTGATGGGCAGTAGCATCAGGATGGACAAAAGGAAATACTATTTTACACAGAGAGTGATTAAAATGTGGGATTTGTTAGAAGAGGATGTAGTGATGGTAACAGGAACAAACAGCTTTAAAAGGGAATTCGATAGATTCATGGAGGGTAAGTCTATCAATGGCTACTAGCCATGGTGACTGAGGGGAACTAAGCCTCTGAATCCAAGAGCCAGGAGGCCACATCAGGGGAAGGCCTTGGCCGCTATACCCTGCTGCTGGCCCTCCAGAGGAACTGGTTGGCCCCTGTGTGAGACAGGATGCTGGGCTAGATGATCTGATCAAGCAGGGCTCTTCTTATGAACTTACATTCTTCCTTCTGCTTCAATATCTCCTTTCCTCTCTCCCTCCTGTCCATTCAGCCTAAAAGTAATACTGGAAGCATGCAAATGGGCTCTGCAGAACTGGGCTGTGAGCTTTCTACCACCATGTTCTCCAGAGCAAGCCATTACAAAACCCCTTGGGTTTCTTCTCCGGTTCTGTAACATGGTATAACTAGCTGATATGACAAGTATCCATGCCCACATCCTTTTCCCATCTCTTGACCTCTTGCTCCCTTCCTCATTGTCTACTACAGTTTTCTATAGTAGGGCTGAGTGATAGAACATCTGCTCTGAATGCAGAAGGCTCCAGGTTCAATCCCCAGCATCCCCAGTTAGTAGGATTAGGCATTATGAAAGATCTCAATTTTAACCCTGGAGAGCCATTGCCAGCCAGAGTGAATGAAGCTAACCTTGACAGACCAATGGTCCAATTCACCAAAACTCAGACTGATGTGACACACTCTTGCTGAGAGTGTCATTCAAGGAATGTGTGTGTGTGTGTGTGAGAGAGAGAAGTGCCATCAAGTCACAGCCAACTTATGGTGACTACCTAGGGCTTTAAGAGATGAACAGAGGGGGTTTGCTATTCCTGGTGTCTGTATAGCAACCCTGAACTTCTTGTTGGTCTCCAATCCAAGTACTAACTAGGGCCAACCTTGCTTACCTTCCAAGATCAGACTAGTTTGAGCTAGCCTGGGCCTTCTGGATCAGGGCTGTTCGATTGATATCTACAAATAAAGCACTGCCAGTACCTTCTCCTGTCCCATCAGTATCATAAGAACATAAGAGGCCTGCTGGTTCAGACCAGTGGTCCATCTAGTCCAGCATTCTGTGGACTAGTGGCCCACCAGTTCCTTTGGAGATCCCACCAGTTCCTCTGGAGGACCAACAACAGGCCATAGAGGCTGAAGCCTTCCGCTGATGTTGCCTCCTGGCACTGGGATTCAGAGGTTGACTGCCTCTAAATGTGGAGGTTTGCTTTAGTCACCATGGCTAGTAGCCACTGCTAAACCTATCCTCCATGAATCTATCTAATCCCCCTGTCTGTTCCTGTGGCCATCACTACACTGTCTGGCAGCAGATCCCACATTTTAATCACTCACTGCGTAAAGAAGCATTTCCTTTAGTCCGTCCTGAATCTACTGCCCGTCAGCTTCATTGAATGTTCTTGAGTTGTAGTGTTTTGGGAGAGGTCTCTTTGTCAACTCTCTCCACCCTGTGCATTGACCATCATTGACCACTGCCACTGGAATCTCCCCCCAGATGTTTAAGAGTGTGGTAATTCTTCCTGAGTACCTCTCTCTTTCATTAATATTCCCAGGAAACGAGGGCAATAATACACTTGGTAAAATAATCCGCTTTGCGAAACCAGTCTTGCATTCTGCTAAACCTTTCCAGGGAAGTGTCCAGTGTACAGCAGAAGTAAGCCAAGATAAGTGCACCTTGATATGATTTAATACCTTCTACCATTGGTAATCACTACTGCAGAGGCTATCATTATGCCATGCTACAGTTCCTGCCCAGGGTTACAGCCCACTGTCCTATTTATCCATGTTTTGTTAACATCTAGGCTGATTACTGCAATCCATTGTGTATCCTATATCCCAGTTCTATGACAACTTCACTCTTGGATGATAGCAAAAATAATAACGTACTGTAGGGTTGCCAGAGTCCAAGTGGGCCTAGAGACCTCCTGAAATTACAACTGATCTCCAGATTATAGAGATAAATTCCCCTAGAGTAAACAGCCTGGAGGATAGACTCCATGGTATTTTAGCCCCAATGAGGTCCCTCCCTTCCTCAAACTCCACCCTACCCATGTTGCACTCCCAAATCTCTAGGAACTTCCCAACCTGGAGCTGGCAGCCCTACCATACTGTAATGGGGGAGGCCAGGACCACTCTTTATTTTCTCCTATCCTTTACAATCTGTGTCCGCATTCTTAGCCAAGAAAATAAAGATTATATACAACTGTGCTAGATCAGGCCCAAGGTCACTGTGGTCCACCACAGAAGGAGGTGCAGAAGAGGGGGAGAAGATGGAGGGCTTGCTGGAGGGGAAGGAGCTGGTGCAGGATGGGGGGGGTCATTGAGCGACAGCACCGAGGACAAGGAGGATGGTAGTGAGGACGAGGAGGCAGCCTGAGTGATGGCAACACTCCAGCTGGCCCATGTTCATTCCCAAAATGAGGTGCGGTGCAGGGGGAAGGCAAGGAGAAGCAGTGGCCGCAGCGGTACAGGGGGAATTCTTAGCTGCCACCGCATCTTGCCAGAGTGTTGGGTGGGCTGGGCTGAAAGGAAGTTGTGGGGCCTTGGCAGGAAGTCAGGGGGCCGGGCCCCAAAATGCCCCACTACAGGCCTGAAGTGAACTGAGATCCAACAGTATTCCTCCACTCAACGCATAAGGTTTTGCAAGCACTTGTGCAAACGTTTGCAAAATAATCATTGCTTTACATCCACACGTTCACAGATCCTTCGGCAGGATTTTGAAGATCAAGTCTAGTGACAACTGTGTGGGTCTCTTTGCACCCATTCAGATTGTTCCAGGAGCTACTTTTGATCCATTGGCAATGCTATATCATTTTGTTTTTTAGAAAACCTGTCTCTTGCTGGTCTGTTACAGCACACAAAGTATTGCAGAGCAAGGAAATTAAAAACTGATGAGAAAAATGAGAACATTAAAAATGACTAAACAGAAAAAAAAATCAAGAAATAATCATAAGGACAATTCCTAAAGCTGTATGTGCATATGCATGAGCCTAACTGAAAGTGAAAAAAGGGAAATAAACTTAGACACCCCCCCCAAAAAAAACTGAACAAAGTGCTTGATAAGAGAAGGATAGAAAAAATACTGTTATTAAATATTAGAAATGATACACTGAAAAATCATTTGCTAGAAAAAGTATATATTGCTTGTATGCATGTTGCTGCCATTGGCTTGTTCTGCGGAGTCACCTTTGGTGGTCTCCCACCCACATTCTGACCCTGTTGAGCCAAGATCTGATGAGATCAGGCTATACCATACAATTCCATCCTAAAGTAGTAGTCAATACAAACACCAATACAACAGTAAATCCCCCCCATCAGAATCAGTTAGGTTGTTAGTAGTGAATGAACGCCCCAAGTAGGGTGATCAAGGCAGTTACTGTCCCATAACAAGATCAGAAATCAGACAGAAAGTAATCCAGGTAACCTGTATCGTTCAGTTTGGTATAAACTCTTTGTCACAAGGAGAGCGGTGGCACAGTGGGTATATCCCACTGTCTTAACATCTGAACTGTGTTAGTTCTGGTGT